AAAACAACCTTAGCACCTTCAAAGTAATCTCCATTACACTTAATATATTTGTGAAATCTGCAATTCCGTTTTGGAAACATTTTTCAAACTCACCTGCTTGGATGACTGACAGTACCTCCCTTGTTTTTCTCTTCACCTCTTCTGTTTCGCCAACTTGCTGTCCTTTCATGTCTCTCTTCATGTGCGCAAAGTTGCGTGGAGAGAGGATAGGGTGAGTAAGGTGTGTAGGACTAGAGAGGTGTGCTGCTTTTTTTGCTCAAAACTGGGACACTGAGATGGCTACGTGAGCAGGTGCATTGTTCTGGTGACAAAAACTGTCACCGATCTGCCACAAATCAGGCCTTATTGGTTGTAAACTGTTACACACGCTGTCTTTTCAGAATTTTCTAGATAAAAAGCTTGATTAACAGTCTGACCTGGTGGAACAAACTCCAAATGCACTCTAAGTCGACATTTTGTCCCTTCAGGAAGTTGATGGATGTCCAGAATGAGGTTTGTCATCAATTGACCGTTCACCTTTTTTGAAATGAGAAAACCACTCATAGGCTTGAGTTTTTCCCATAGCACTGTCCATGTAAGCTGCGTTGAACATCACATCAGTTTCTGCAGCATTTTTCCTGAGCAGGAATCAAAATTTCACAGCTGCATGCTGTTTTTTAAATTGGCTATCACAAAAAACGAGGTTTGAGCAAAACTGCTCTTATGAAAAAACACTGTGACCAGAGAGAACCAACCTAGGTGACACCACTGGGTGCACCAAGTCAGAACCAGATGCTCGATGCTCACCTAGCAGGAAAAACACGTACTATGAAAGCTCTGCTCTGCGTAGCACAATTACTTTTTGGCAAGGGGTACCACCTCGTATAATCTATAAAAGAAATACAATGAAAAATTAAAACTGAAAAAAAACAAAAAACCCAAGTCTGGCTAGACCAGAGGAGGTACACTGGTACAGATAGGAACTGGAAATACAGTTAATCCAGAGCGGATGATCCCTTCAGGACCAGTGGTGTGAGTGGTGATACTGGGAGGGTAGAGGGAGAGTGGGTTGGAAAGAGGGAACCGATTACAAGGATCT